TCGGAATTCCAATGGGAACTTCTTGCCGACTTGTCAAGTTCTTTATTATTATGAGGCTGACTTCATACAGGAACTTCTTAGGAAAAAAGATAAGAAGTTAGCAATATCCTTTAGCTCTACGTTCCGCTATATAGATGACGTTCTCTCACTAAATAATACAAAATTTGGTGACTATGTTGAACGAATCTATCCCATCGAACTAGATATAAAGGATACTACAGATACAGTTAAGTCTGCTTCATATCTTGACTTAAATCTAGAAATTGACAATGAGGGTCGGTTGAAAACAAAACTTTACGACAAAAGAGATGATTTCAGCTTCCCAATTGTGAACTTTCCATTTCTATGTAGCAACATTCCAGCAGCGCCTGCATACGGAGTATATATCTCCCAATTGATACGATATTCCCGGGCTTGTGTTTCCTATCATGATTTCCTTGATAGAGGATTGCTGCTCACAAGGAAGCTATTAAACCAAGAGTTCCAAATGGTGAAGTTGAAGTCATCCCTTCGTAAATTTTACGGACGCCATCACGAGTTGGTTGACCGTTATGGAATAACTGTTTCACATATGATATCGGATATGTTCCTTATGTCGTAACTACAATACCCTCCCTTTTCACGAATGTGACTTACCGAATTAGACTATTTACCTGATTTGTAATAACATAAGCAACACGACGGGTGCCACATGTGGAGCAGGATCTGCTTACCCTTCCGGAGCACCTGAGATCACCCCCAGTTTTTGGTGGGGTTCGTGTTGCTTAGTCTTTGGTTTTTTATGTTGTGTCATCTGTACTATTATTTGTCTGTTTGTCTTTTTATTTTTGGCCATGGCGTTGTCAGTTTGTTTTCGATCCATGAGTTTGACTGTCCCTCTGGTATCTTTCGTCCCTCTTTTATAAACTAATAAGAAAATAATGGTTTATTAGAGTAATAATTGTATGGTTGTATGAAAAAAAGCCGCACTTTTAACTCCATCATCTAGTAAGAGAGAGAAAAAAATGTCAACATTAATGTATATTTCTATTTTTTTTTTATATTGAGGATATCCACCTAGATTTGGACAAGGAGAGATAACTCCATCATTCTAATATTTCATAGGTGGGTTTGATTCAGTAATGGATCCTATATGGATCCTGTTTTTCTGTTAGTTATGATATCATATGTAATACAAGTTTTATAACATAACTTTCTTCATTAGTCATTAACCATAAACATTTATTCTCTGAAGAATTCTATTTTTAGATACATATGCACATTCTTGGCTGTACAGTCTGTCGATCCTGACCTGTATCTTGGCATTGCACAAGGTCATGTTTTCTCTGACAGTTAATGACGTCTTTATACTAAATCCATTGGATGTTGTATGTGTACTGATTGATATTTTAGTCTTAGATGCATGCTTTTTTCATTAGATATTATTGGCTCTGATCTAGCTGTCAGTAACTGCGAGTACTCCGAGGCTCAGATCTGTACTTCAAGTAGTGTCTTTTTGTTGTCGGGATGTATAAGTACCCTGCCACGTCCACTCTGTGTTTTTGTAAGATGTATTTCTGCATGAGTTGAGCCCTTTTCAACTGATTTTTATAGTTTGTTCTTATGTTCAGTTGTACTGTTACACCACTGTCCCAGGTTAGGGGAGGGTTGGCGCGCCTTCAAACTAGTTTAACCCGGCCACATTCTGTATGTGCCTGTCCCTTGTCAGGAGCATGTAATTCAGTGGTTGTCGTTTGTTGCTGTTTATCATATTTTTTTTTCTTTCATTATTTTGTACATAAATCAGGCCGTTAGTTTTCTCGTTTGAATTGTTTTACATTTGTCATTTCGGGGCCTTTTATAGCTGACTATGCGGTATGGGTTTTGTTGAAGGCCGTACGGTGACCTATAGTTGTTAATTTCTGTGTCTTTTGGTGTTTGTGGAGAGTTGTCTCATTTACAATCATACCACATCTTCTTATTTTTATATTGATAAATTTTTTATATTTACAATTCAGATCATTGATGAATGGCTTTCTACAGTTAAACTGTTTGCAAGAACAGGACAGTCTAATTTCTGTATGTTCTTAACTTATTTCCAGCATTGACTCTTGTTTTATTATCATTATTTAGTTCATTGTGCTAAAGACCTATAAATTTTGATTGTAAACAAGATTATACTTTATTTATTATATAATTCTGTTTATGTTTTGATATATATTTATATATAAGTGTTCAAGGTTCAAAAATTGAAATATTTTCTGAATAAACTTAAACCCATGATTCTTGCTTGGCAGATGACATAGCTACTGATTCTTCAAAAGCACTATCAATATTTTGTTATCTTGATTATTATCAATACATTAAATTTTGTTCTATTGAGATCCATTACAAATGTCCTGTAGTCTTTACCAAAGTTTAATCATACTAAGATATACTATGATATATGTATATGTATCGTTAACATACATCTGCTTCAAACTTTTAGAACATGTTGTAGGTAGTAATATTATGAAACATCTAAAAATACATAAACTTCTATCTATATGACTTCCAACATGGTTTTCGATCATCCCGTTCCTGTGAAATTCAGTTAATATCATTTATTCAAGATCTTGCAAATTCTAATTGAAAACAAAATAGTCAAACTGACATCATAATAATGGATTTTGCAAAAATGTTTCACATCCTCATCTCATGTATAAAATCGGCTTCTATGGTATAAATTGCAATGCATTATAATAGATTCAAGACATATTGAAATACAAGAACACAAACAGTAGTCCTCGAAGGAGAAACATTAGATAACATTCCTATATCATCTGGAGTAACGCAAGGCACAATACTTGGGCCAATCTTATTTTTAATCTATATTAACGATTTGGCATAATATATTAAACATAGCACATTGGGAATATTCGCAGATGATAGCACTATTTACAAGGAAATTAAGAAACCGGATGACACTCATAAATTGCAGTCTGATTTAGAAGCTACCGGCAGATAGGAGGGGGACTGGATCATTCATTTTTATTTTGATGAACGCAACATTCTCAGTGTAACACAAAACCTGTAGACCTCACAAACAATTTACTTAATCTATCAATCGAAAAAGTTGAATCTACAAAATATTCAGGCCTAATATTCAAGGAACCTGTTGTTCAGTGGTTGTCGTTTGTTGATGTGGTTCTTATGTGTTTCTCGTTTTTTATATATATTAGACCGCTGGTTTTCCTGTTTGAATTGTTTTACATTAGTCATGTTCGGGCCTTTATAGCTTGCTGTACGGTGTGAGCCAAGGCTCCGTGTTGAAGGCCGTACTTTGACCTATAATTGTTTACTTTTTACACATTGTGACTTGGATGGAGAGTTGTCTCATTGGCACTCATACCACATCTTCTTATTTCTACTAACCACAGGCACTTATCTCTGAAAAAAATTACCTATAAACATTAATATGACAAGTATATATAGGTAAACATTTTTTCAAAGACAAGTGCATGTGGGTCTAACCTCTCAGTCAAGCTTAAAATGGGATAACCATATCGATGGCATGACATCATCAAAAGCAAATCAGTCTATTCTACAACACCAGCTCAGTTACTGACATGATGACAGGCCTAAACTGGTACCAACTCGAAATAAGACGACTAAGATACAGAATGTTCTCTTTTGAACAATCATTCATGAAATTGTTACAGTCCCTACATTTAACTAGACAATAGAACCAGACATAGCAGTCCACACTCAATTAAACAAATACAACTAAAGGCAACTATGTATATTCATTTTATCCACGTAAAGTTAATACATTCGAATCATTTACCACTTAACTTTTATGGTTATCAAATGTATATAGTTTTATGTTAATGTTATTTTTTCGAATGCACGTAATTCTTTTGTTGTTTTTTTTTTTTGGGGGGGGGGGGGGGGAGTTTAGTTTTTAAATTTATAGTCGACGCGCGGCGAATAATCTTCAATTAATTTTGAAGGATCGCTAGAAACTGAAAGAAGAAGAAGAATATATATGAGGGTCTGGATGAGGTTTTAAGAATAGAGTAATGAGCTTACATTTCAGAAAATAGGCCAACACGATAAAGAATAGAGAAAAACGTGCAAAATTAATAAAGAATAGTGAATAATAACTGAAAGATTAAAGAATATAGAATTAAAGGATTCCCTAATCCAGACCCTCATATATATATATATATATATATATATATATATATCTATATATATAGAAGATGTGGTATGATTGCCAATGAGACAAATCTCTACCAGAGACCAAAGGACATAGAGGTTAACAACTATAGGTCATCGTACGGCCGTCAACAATGAGCAAAACCCATACCCCATAATCAACTACAAGATGCCCCGAAATGACAAATGTAATACAATTCAAACGAGAAAACTAACAGCCTGTTTTATGTAAAAAAAACAACAACAAAGAACGAAAAATAAATATGATATACAGCAGCAAACGACAACCATTGAATTACAGGCTAATGACTTGGGACAAACACACAGAGAACGGGCGGGGTTAAACAATTTAGCTGGCACTAAACCCTCCCCTATCCTGGGACAGTTGGGACAGTGGTGTTACATACAGTACAACATAAAAACAAACCATTAAAATCATTTGAAAAGGACTTAACTCATCAGATCGATACAAAGCGGAAAAACAACTATCAAAAACACAGACAGGACTTGGCAGGGAATTTATAAATACCAACAACAACAAAAAACACTAAGTACAGATCTGAAAGTACTTACAGTTATTGACAGCTAGTTCAGAGCCAATAACAACTAATAACAATAATCATGTATCTAAGACCCACGTTGATCTTTTTGTAATTTTCTGGTTTGTCGTTCCACAGTTAGAGGACTTTAACACTTTGAATTTAGGCCACTGTTCACCTATCGCACACTAATTCCAGTGTTCCTGAGTTGATTTCTGCAAAACGGTAGTGTTATTGTAACAGGGTCGTATCTTGGATTAAGTAATAACAAACTCTGTTCTATAGGGTTCGGATGATTTAATACCAGTAATAGAAAATAAACTCTGAAATAACAATATCACAATTATAATTAACAGTTCTATTTTATAAAACACAAGTATCTTAAATTACACATTATCACATATGGTAATAGTAAAATACAATGCTCTTAATTACTGTGTACTATACTACTAATTCAATAATAAATACATTCAGTAAATTGATGTCACGTGTACTTTTATTTCTCATTGTGATATACTACACAAGAATGTAACCCTTGATCATAAATAGTGTACTATATAATGTTTACTGGTAAACTATGTGTACGGTACAAAACTAAAGTGAAAACTGCACATATAACAATAAACTAATCGGAACATAATATATTATTTAATCTTTACATACTATTACATTACAACAATCATTAAGTTGCAAATACTATTTTTATAAAGACTAATTAAGCCAATATCTTAGATATGCTTAAAACCGCATATTTAAAGGGAAATAATCCATAACGTTCTGTTTACAACATTACATAATTAAAATAGATTGACTCTTACCACTTGTGGAGTGAGTTTTACTGGTAAGGAGTAGGCACAGTTCACAAGTAATACTCTGTATATAACTACATCAATGGAGTCCTAAAACCAAAATGTAATCATAAACATTCGGACTCGTAAAATATTAAAATATACAATATGACAAAATAACTCAAGTTCATTCATAGTTATACTTCTATCATTACATTGTATAATATAAGTGTACTAATAAATATCAACATTAACACTTTTCCTTATTTTGTTTAATATGCCGCCATTTATGAAATATCAATTATCTGTGTCAATAATCAAATAGCTGCGCAAATTATCTTGTTCTATATTCTATCGTGACAAATTAACGGTAGATAATAAAATATATGTAGCACGAAGCTAAATAAAATATTCTCGGGTACATCTATCATACTAATGTAATAATCAAACTTTACGAGGAGAACGAAGTCATACAATAGAAACTTTGCTAACTTTATCATTTACATGTGAAAATATAACTTATATAATAAAGAAAATAACTTACATTAATCAGATATATGTTGTGTCCACAATGAATGAAAATAATAATATACAGGTAATATAACTCGGGACACACAATATCATGTGGCTGTCATTTCAAGTTCCCGTTCAAATCTACCTGGTCAATACAAAATATAAATTGACCGCGAAATCACAATGACCAATCAGATACGCAATTTTAACTAAGAACCTTTTGAATATTCATGAACTAAATATAAAAAGTAAAGTGTAGATTTGGATTTAAATTATAATATTCTTTTATCGAAATTCAAGAGTAAAACGTTTATAATAAATTAATTTGAAGAACGTTATAAAGATATTTTTACTGTTATTTAATAGGCGTAAAAATGACACTACTACATTCTCCCCTCTGTTGAAGAAAATGACTTCCATGTCATTCTGTCTTTCTCCCCTCTTTTATGAACTTGTCGTCCTCGTCAAGCTGTTTACATTATCAACTGTTCTCAATAATCTTGATGATAGCCCTAGATAGTTCAATCTCTAGACCTCTAAATCGTCCTGTTTCTGCCTGACTTTCCAACCAATGTACTTTTTCCAACCAATCTGGTTTAGTGGTGGCCTGCTTTGCTGTAGTTACATAATCTTGCAGGTACTTCGGTGGTTGCCGGTTTCTCTGAGGTCTAGCTAGTGTGGTAGTTTCTGGTATGTGACGTGGTGGTGTAGGTAAGTATCTACGTCTTCTTTCTCTAACTGGTTGTACTGTTGGAGTTTCATCATCTGTGGGTTCATCTGCCATTTCATCTAGAGATGGATCCTCCGTCAACGCACTGCCATTATTTGATTCTAAAGCGTCAGCTTCAATATTCTGACCAGTCGCTGCAGGTTCAACATCCTCTGTTCCAGGGATAGGTTCTTCAGCATTTCCTATGTCTGAAGGTAAAGCGTCCTCTACTAAACCGTTAACCTGGCTACTACCAACGGCATCATGATCGTCACCCGTGTCGCTGATAGTTACATCATCTATCCCAGGTCTTTCTACCATATCTGCTTCACTGTCAGTGTTGCTAGGTGTACTCCTTCCTGTCTCTATTATCCAATACTCCTGCTCCGACTCCTCATCTGATTCCAATGCAGTCATCTTTTCAATGCTGTCCCCAACAGACTTCGTCGGTGGTCGTCCAGACTTCTTCGGTTTACGCTTCTGTCTAGGTGCAGGAGTTATCTCAGACTCATTAGTCTTTGGCAGAAATCCAATTGGAAGTAGAAGATTTCGATGAAGTGTCTTCTTTCTTCCAGTTCCGTTTTCTTTCTGGACCACATACACAGGTATCTCTTTGTTAGGCTGAATTACAATCTGGTATGGATCTTCTTCCCACTTGTCAGCTAGCTTATGTTTACCGTCGAAGGCCAAGATCTTTACTAGGACTCTGTCGCCGGTTTGTAAGATGGCTGATCTAGCTTTCATGTTATAGTTGTATTTCTGTCTGTCTTTCCCTATTTTCGAGTGTTTTGTTGCCAACTCGTATGCCTCTTTCAATCTTTTCTGTACGGTTTCAATGTACTTTGTCACTGGTTGCTTTTGTTCATTATCAGGAAGGTTGAAAGCGATGTCTATCGGTAATCTTGGCTCTCTACCAAACATAAGGAAGTAAGGTGAGTATCTGGTAGTTGTCTGTCTGGTGCAGTTGTAAGCATGAACCAATCCAGCTATGTGTGCTTTCCAGTCTTTCTTCTGCGTTGTTTCCAGTGTACCCAACATACTCAGTAATGTTCGATTAAAACGCTCTGTATTTCCGTTGCCCATAGGATGGTACGGTGTAGTACGTGATTTCTGCATGCCTGTGATGTTACATAGTTCTTTAATGATATTTGATTCAAAGTTGGCACCTTGGTCGCTGTGAATTCGTTTTGGCAAGCCGTAATGTACTACAAAGTGGTTGAAAAAGGCTTCGGCGGTAGTCTTTGCTGTTTGATTTTTCGTTGGAATTGCCAAGGCATACCGGGTAAAGTGATCGGTAATGACAAGAACATTTTCAAAACCTCCTTTGGATCTTTCCAGTGACAAATAATCCATGCATACTAGTTCAAGTGGTTGGTATGTTTCAATGCTAACTAGTGGTGCCCTTTCATTAGTTGGTGTTTTCCGTCTTATGCATCTGTTACATTGCGTAATCCACTGATCTACATCTCTTGTCATCCCATACCATACAAATCTATCTCTTATAAGTGACAGTGTCTTATCTCGTCCTTGGTGGCCCATGTCATCGTGAAGTGCTTTCAGTACTTTCGGAACGCAAGTTTCTGGTAAAACAAGTTGTTTAACTGGCTGGAAATCAAGTGTAGCTTCTCTGAATAGAACACCATCTTTCAGTTGCAACTTGTCGAAGTTATTGATGAACCATGTATTCTCTGATGATCTTTCTAGTTGTTCTTTTGTTGGCTTGCGGTGTTCAGATACCCAATAAATCCATTCTTTCATTCTGTAATCATTCTTCTGTTCTGATTTAATGTCAACCAAATGCTGTGCTGGTAAAGATGTATCATCCACGATTGTAGTAGTATTCATTGACAGACTATCGACGAAAGGTTGAGTATGCTGAAGATTGCAGATGGCTTTTACAGAAGTAGCATCTAAGTTTGATGGTTTACGTCCAAGTAACTCAGGCAATCTCGATAAAGAATCAGCATCGGCATTTTTGGAACCTGGTCTGTAGATGATGTTAAAGTTGTATGATGCTAATGCTGCAATCCAACGGTGACCAGTTGCATCTAGTTTGGCTGATGTTAGCACGTACGTTAGAGGATTGTTGTCTGTCAATACTGTAAAGGTGTTTCCATATAAGTAGTCGTGGAATTTCTCGGTGACAGCCCATTTTAATGCCAAAAATTCTAATTTGTGTACTGGGTAATTTCGCTCGGTCTTACTGAGTCCTCTACTGGCGTAAGCTATGACACGCTTCTTGTTGTCCTGTTCTTGATATAATACAGCTCCTAAGCCTTGCATGGATGCATCAGTGTGTAACTCGAACTGTTTATTGTATCGTGGAAAACCAAGTATAGGTGGTGAAGCTAGTGCTGTTTTAAGTGTTTGGAAAGCCTTTTCTTGAAGATCTCCCCAAATCCATGATTGACTGTTTGGATCTCGGAGTCGTGGCTTGCGTTTCTTTGATGAACTTTTCGGTGGAGGCATTAGATCGGTGAGTGGTCTTGCTATTTTCGAAAAATCTTTGACGAACTTCCGGTAGTATCCTACAAAGCCAAGGAAGCGACGGATTTCTTCTGGTGTTGTTGGACGTGGCCAGTTGGTTACCTTGTCTATCTTTGCAGGATCTGGTTGTATGCCATCTTTGGAGACGATGTGACCAATATATTTAACTTTCTCTTGAAGGAATGAGCATTTCTTTGGAGATAATTTAAGTCCGCTTTCTCTTAGCCTCTGCAGTACTTTCTCTAATCTGACCAGATGTTCCTCGTAAGTATCGGAGAATATTATAAGATCATCCAGATAAATGAAACAGATATCAAGATGGAGGTCTCCTAGGATCTCTTCCATTAACCTCTGATATGTCGCTGGGCTGTTGACTAATCCAAACGGCAAGCGGTTGAATTCGTAAAAGCCTAGTGGACCGACAGTGAAAGCAGTTCTCTGCTTGTGGGACTCTTCTACCTCTACTTGATGGTATCCGCTCTTCATATCAAGTACTGTATATAGCGTGTTACCTCCTAGAGCGTCTAGTATCTCTTCGCTGCGTGGCAAAGCGTATGAATCCTTCACGGACCTTTGATTAAGTTGTCTGTAATCAATACACATTCTGAGTTTCCCATCCTTCTTTCGACAAAGCACTACATTAGATGACCAAGGTGAGTGTGAGCGTCGTATTATGCCAGCTGTGAGTAGTTGTTGTAGATGTGTACGAACTTCATCAAACATGGCTGGTGGTATACGCCTATGTCTCTGCTTGAACGGTGTATCATCAGTGAGATCAATTCTATGACGAACTGCATCTGTGTGACCAATGTCTGTGTCTGACATACTAAATACATCTCTATACTGTCTAAGTAGTTGTTTGCCTTTTTCTAACTGTTCATTGCTCAATAAGTCCGTTGGTAAGTTGACATCGTTCAATACATCATAATCTGTATTATCTTCTGTATCTATATCAGCAATTGAGACTGGTTGCAGTTCACAAAGGATAGCGTTAGGTGAAACTGTTATGGTTCTCGTTGTTACATTACTGATATGTACAGGTACTAATCTGTTATCTCTGTATTCGTAGTTGACAAGTGTTGGAGCTATGTCTAAGTCTATAGGTACTGCTGCCTTATGTGTTGGTTGAAGTATTCCACATACAGGGTGGTACGGCAACTCATGGTCCATATAACCTTGAAGCATGACATCTTTATTCGGTGGAATGCGAACAGTCTTTCCCTCTGCGCATTTAATCAATGCTAATCTGTTGTTTCTCTTGTTGAGTTCTTTCTCTCTGAGTAAAAGGCATCGAAACGTCATATACCATGGAGTGATCAAGTTGGCGTTTTGCAAAAATCGATGACCAAAGCGTTGTTTCACATCATCCATTGCTCTATTCAATACGTTGGTACCAAGAAGCAAAGGTACAGTCTTGTTGTAGGTACTATCAGGGACTACTAGTAGTAAGCAATGTTGTGGTATATCTGATGGTGATGCTCCAGGTAATTCTAAATCGACAGTGATGTAACCATGATACGGTAAGTTCTCTCCATCAGCACATTCTATGTTTAGAATACGGTTAAGTGTCTGTATAGCATGATCAGGTAAGTATTTTCGATGAAATGATTCGCTGACAGTGCTAACTGTGGAACCTGTATCTAATAATGCTGTAACTTGAATACCATTTATCTTAACAGTTACTTCATTGGTGCTGCCTAGTAGTTGGTCAGTGACATCACGTGTTGACTGTTGCTGTTGGTATGCATATGTTCTATCTTCCGCGTTGATCTGCTGGAAGTTATAAGCTTGTCGTGAATGGTCTAATCGTATACGGCAACCAATGGCTATGTGATGAAGTCCTCCGCATCGATAACATACGATAGGATCTCTTGTTCGTGGAATAGGAGTCGACGCAGGAGAGTAGTTTTGGTTGGCTTGGTTGTCAAAGTCGTTGTCCCAATAGGGTCGCTGTCTACGTCTACGACGATGGCGTTTCTTCTTTGGACCATACTGTTCCATGACCGATTGGAAGAATGTAGTAGCCCAACTTACTTAATAAATGCCAACAACAAAACCGAAAATGAAAAAAAAATACTTTCACTTCCAAAAACCTATGTCTATTAAAGGTGTTTCAAAACAAAAAACAAAAAAATAATACAACTATTAACTACCTAACCACCACACTAGAGTATCATAATTACAATAAATCAAAATGGTAAATTTTAATCAATAACCAATACTCAATTCTATCAATTCTACAATAACTAAAATACACACAAATTATATCAAATACACATGGATGTGCATTGATAAATAAGTACTACCAAATATTAAAATGATTGAATATATATCATATGCAAATGAGTGCACCTCAATCAGAGTATATTGTAATTGAATAAATTCAAATATTTCAACAGTCACATGTTTAGAATCTATCTAATCAAACTATAGATTGTTTCAAACTCTGTCTAATTTCAACACAGAGTAAAGGTACTATATACTATAACTGTATACGATAGTGTTGCTTTCTGTATATGAAAAAAATGTACTTTTAATGTGTAAAAATAAAAGTCAATAAATTCTACAAGTACATCTGTACTCTCATATAAACAATCAATCACCAAGTGATGCTAATTTTCAATGAAAAAAAAAATTTTCAATGTGTTTAAGTGTGAAAAGGTCAATATGTAGAACGCTAAAAAAAAATCAAAGTCCAAAAGTGTATGTATGAATGAACAATGTCAATGTGTAAAAATGTTTAAGTGTAACTAAGTTTAAGTTGAACGGTGGTATACCAATAACACTACATGTATGTATGCTATCTATCTATCAACGTGTGTTGCTGTAATAAGTCAGTGTTGGTGTTGCAATGCGATATAGTAATCGACCAATATATGATATCTAATTAAAGTCTCCTTTATGTGAACAAATTAAAGTATGTGTAAATTATTTATTTTTTTTTTTTAAAGTGTGTAAGCAAACTATTTCAGTATACAATTATAATATATATATAAGTAAAAAGCCTACCTTATAAAGCTAAGTTATTTTTCCAATTCCAATCACAATAATATGAATTAATTATAACAACAAAAGTTCTATTTTCAATTAAGAAAATCAAAAAGTCTAAGTTACTGAAAGTAACTTCCGGTTTCACAAATCTTCATAACTGGAAAACGGTATAAAATGTTAATGTAAATAAACACATGTGGACATCAACGGATGTAAACACTGGCACGTGCATCTTCGGACATCTGCGCATGGTTGGTAAACAAACACATCACGAGGTCTCATCTGTCGTCTGCTTCGGTTGTCACTAAACACACACACTGGTACCCTAATCTGACAGTGCCATCAATCCATAAACTACGTTGGGCGCCATTTTGTAACAGGGTCGTATCATGGATTAAGTAATAACAAACTCTGTTCTATAGGGTTCGGATGATTTAATACCAGTAATAGAAAATAAACTCTGAAATAACAATATCACAATTATAATTAACAGTTCTATTTTATAAAACACAAGTATCTTAAATTACACATTATCACATATGGTAATAGTAAAATACAATGCTCTTAATTACTGTGTACTATACTACTAATTCAATAATAAATACATTCAGTAAATTGATGTCACGTGTACTTTTATTTCTCATTGTGATATACTACACAAGAATGTAACCCTTGATCATAAATAGTGTACTATATAATGTTTACTGGTAAACTATGTGTACGGTACAAAACTAAAGTGAAAACTGCACATATAACAATAAACTAATCGGAACATAATATATTATTTAATCTTTACATACTATTACATTACAACAATCATTAAGTTGCAAATACTATTTTTATAAAGACTAATTAAGCCAATATCTTAGATATGCTTAAAACCGCATATTTAAAGGGAAATAATCCATAACGTTCTGTTTACAACATTACATAATTAAAATAGATTGACTCTTACCACTTGTGGAGTGAGTTTTACTGGTAAGGAGTAGGCACAGTTCACAAGTAATACTCTGTATATAACTACATCAATGGAGTCCTAAAACCAAAATGTAATCATAAACATTCGGACTCGTAAAATATTAAAATATACAATATGACAAAAAGATTTTTGCGGTATTATCTGTCGAAGTGCTTTGAAAAAACTGCAGTCTGACGTCCGACGGCCGTTTTGGATTTTGCTAGGGCTGTGCAACAAATCCCCGAAAAAGGCTGTGATGTAGACGTAGGAGCAATCTCGGACTTTACGATATTATTGTACCGGTATTATCCATATAGCAAAAGAGTTAAGGGATGACCTTCACCCATTTCTTTTCGGCTTAATAATTACATTACTTGTATGTTTCATTATAATACGTTATTTTGATTGGCTTACAGTAATCTCGCGTCATTCTGAAATTAACCTTCATTTCAAAATGAAATGTAACATTCATGATGACACGAGCTTCCGCCGTGTCTTCCTGCAACGGCGGATCTTGAAACTAATTTTCCGGAGATTGGGGACACCCTTCTGGAGCACCTAAGATCACCTCCAGTTTTTGGTAGGGTTCGTGTTGCTCAGTCTTTAGTTTTCTATGTTAAGTTTTGTGTACTATTGTTTGTCTGTTGTCTTTTTCTTTTTTAGCCATGGCGTTGTCAGTTTATTTTCGGCTTATTTTGAGTTTGAATGTCCCTTTGGTATCTGTTGCCTCTCCTTTGGGGAGTAATTTTTTCATTTTCATCCCTTTTTGGTCAAAGTTATATGCTGTCAGTTCTTAACAGGAAAGAATATTTATTTTCAAAATCCTCTTGAAGGAACACAAAACACACCTTACCCACCATTGAAAATAATTTTCTGCTGTTTGTTGTAGATTTTCATACATTGACAGAAGAAGCGTCATGAATTTGGAAATAATATGACATTTATATATTTGTTTTTGCTGAAAAGCTGAATTTACCACAGTTGGCGTTACCTTTCAATGTTTTCATCTTTGACACTAATAAGATATTGTCGGTAAATGCGAATTCGTTGACTGGTTGATTTAATTTGTATTTTTAAAATATGAAATTATGACACAAAAATACCAAACTTCCAATTTACTACAACTCTTTATTGTTTTGGGTAATGGTTATTGAACAGTTTGTCCCACAATTTCTCTATGATAAAGATATTCTTGAGTTTTTGGAAATATAAGAAGTGATTTCAATGACTAGGGTTATTCCATTATACAATTATAACCCATTAGTTGTTTTTCTTTCTGACATGTTATAAATAACTTATAGCATATTGTTTACCTGGATATGCATGTAGTATTGCTTGGGGGATTTGATTTATTAATCTTTATTATTTCATATTTTCAAAGGTTAATAGAACAACCTGGTTAAACCTGGTTTTATAGCTAGATAAACCTCCCACTTGTATTACAGTTATTTATAGTTCCGTTATATTGATAAAAATGGGTGATCAACCCGAACACACATAAAATGTTAATGTGACAATAATTGGGATCTAGCAGTCAAAACTGTATAAACACACATCACAGACATACAACACAACTGATTAAAAAATTCAAACAAACAAACAAATAAATCTAACAAAGACGTCGACAAAAGGATTGATGTAGCTAACGAAAAGGTTTTTGTAGTTTATACTGTATTTTCAAAGAAGCCGATAAAAAAAGTTTTTGTAGTTGATAGTATATACTATATAGTACACACTTTCTCCATAAGGTATAACTAAAGTAATTTATATTTACGAGAGTGAATAAAATAGAAACAACACTGTACAAACCTCTTGTGTCCGAATCGCACATCAGGACCCACCTACTCCAGGAACACCAAAAGTCAAAAACCCGGGTGTATAAGTACCGAGTCAAAAAGTCAAATGTCCAAGAGAAGCATATAAGCATAAAGAAAATAAAGGGAAAACTGTAAAGTAAATAAAAAGATACACAATTTCAGCACCTAGAATCTATAATTCAAAACCATTTTGTATACTATTTGTGAAGTAGACACTGAATATTTATACTAGGTCTTGGTACTTTCCTATGAACCTTTTGAGAACTGTCGTCATTTGATAAAGCCCTGGCTCATTAATTATTTGCTCAGACACCGATGACGTTTAACAAAGTCTGAGTAGCAGCTGCAAGCTCTTGGATATCGTATGAGTTGAGAATTATTACTCCGGTTGAAGTTGTTATTTTGCTGCTAAAGTGAGGAATATTTATAATTTCAAAATTGAAATCGTCTCGTTTATCATAGATTCTTGTACTAAGATGACGGTTATGGTCAAATTCGAGGTGATTGTCTAGACAGGTGGAAGAAGCTGTATTTATGGTTTATTTAATCTCTAGTTCAGGTTAATTCAATCAGAGAAGTTTGGATGGTTAATGAAAATTACATCACCAAAATACCTGTATATGAAATTAAATGATTTAACTTCTTAGATCTTCTATTTTTTTCTAAAGTGTCTGAAGGAACTCCAACTCATATGAAAATAAGAAAAGGTCGGCATAGATAATTACACAGTTGGATACCATAGGAATGCCGACAACCTGCTGGAAAATTTCATGTCAAAATACAACAAATATTTGTCAATGAGAAACTACAGCATACTTATCACTTGTTCTTCTGTGTAGCATGTTTTATTTTCGGGCTCATTTTTAACAAAATATGAAGAATTATATCCCCAAAACAATAAACTTGTTGCAAATGGTACCATTGTTATTGAGGAAATTTTGTGTATTATTTCAGAGAATGTCCGTGATTTTAAATTTTCTAGAAGTTCTTTTAAGTTCTTAAGAATCCGCATATAGTTCATGCCACTTCGCGAGTAAACAGTTTCACAGTATTTCTGTAATCCCGTTTTCACTGTGGACAGAATTTTGGTTAATCTAATTAGAAAATACCCAGAACACAAATTATACTTTCTAGTCTGTATATTGGGAAACATATCTATACACCACTTGCATAATCTTTTAAACATTTTTAGAAAGTTTACAGGCAGTGGAATATGAATGGTACGAATGTAATATAGCCGACGCGAATGATGGAGATGTGAATGAAGGTCATCAAAGCTCCCAGTGATAGATCTAGATTTGGATGACTTTTTTTTACATTTGGACGATGGTAATGCTTTTGACCATCAATAATCTTCGATCTTAAACTAGTGTTGAATAAAATTGAGAATGGAAATGGGGAATATGTCAAAGAGACAACAACCCGACTAAAGAGCAGATAACAGCCGAAGGCCACCAATGGGTCTTCAACGCAGCGAGAAAATCCCGCACCCGGAGGTGGTCCTCAGCTGACCCCTAAATAAAATTGTGTACTGGTTCAGTGATAATGGACGTCACACTAAACTTCAAAACATATAAAGGAACAAAAATTAAAAAAACATACGAGACTAACAAAGGCCAGAGGCTCCTGACTTGGGACAGGCGCAAAAATGCGGCGGGGTTAAACATGGTTTGTGAGATCTCAACCCTCCCCTTTACCTCTAGCCAATGTAGAATAAAGAAACACATAGCAATACGCACAGTAAAACTCAGTTCAAAAGAAGTCCGAGTCCGATGTCAGAAAAGGTAACAAAAGAAACTAAGCAAAATGACAATGACACATAAATTAACAAAGGACTACTAGCAGTTTCTGACATGCCAGCTCCAGACCTCAATTAAACTGATTGAAAGATTATGTCTTCATCATATGAAAATCAAGTTCAATCCCTCCGGTTAGGGGTTTAGTATCATACCATCATAAAATATATCAGAAGAACATAACCCGTATCATGCCAACAACTGGTTTTAGAATAAATGTGTTTATTTCCGATGCAAAGACAATATGAGTGAATCAATATTAATACCAAAATATGCAATCCTTAATGACTTGACAACAGTATCGTAACTATATCCTTTCCGAATAAGTCTGTTTAAAGGTTTGGTTAGCTTTTGAGGTGAATGCCGACATTTTTGCGCCTGTCGCAGGTCAGGAAACCCTATGCTTTGTTAGACTTGTGTGTGTGTTTTTTAAATAATTTTGGTTCATTTGTAAGGTTCAAGATTTAGTATGGCGCCCTTTTGCTGCACTATTCTATATGACTGTTTAGGGGCAATCTGCAACCCTACTCTGGGTGCGGGATTTTCCTGATGCGTTGAACATCCATTGGTGGCCTTTGTCTGTTTTCTGCTTTTTTTATCTGGTTGATATCTCTTTCCTATTTCTTCTCTATATTCTATCTTTAATTGTAAATATTTTGTTCTAGTTTTAAGTGGGCCACTGTCTGTATATGTCCCTCCCAATAAAGTGACCAACGCTCAAAGTGTTATCCATGTCCCTCATAAATTCAAACTGTTATCAAAACTTTTTTTAGCAGTACCAGCATATGTCAATCTGAATATTGGAACTTGGTGTAACAGCACTTGAAAATAGAAAAATTCATAAAAACATAACTTATCCAGACTTATTTTTGTAATATCTGAATCACCAAAACGATTTTTTGGTGTATTAGTGTACAACCTTATAGATCGAGTTTGCGATTTGCTCTTGTTGATTAACATGAGTTTGAAAATCCGGTTAAAAATTGTTTGTCAAATCTGAAAGTCCTGAAAAACCATGAAAAAGATCTTAACAACCATTGACAAATGTCTGATTTGGAACAAGTAAATTTAACTCATTTATGGAATGATGATTTATTTCAAATATACATGATATATAATAAAAATAATAATTTTTTTATCACAAATCAGATATTAACAATAACGTTAGATTCTGAAATTTAATCAAATATTCAACAACATATATTTTTCTGCATCTGCACTTTGAATTATTTGGTAAAACAAATATTATAATAATAATTGAAAGTATATATGCATGCATATTTTTATGAAAATAGTGCAATTAATTTTGTAATTTTGTATTTCACATCATTTTTGTTCTTCTTGAGTCTTTTTAGGTAATTGAATATCTTAAACAGATAATATTTGTGAATGTACTGTTTTTCACAAAATATTATATATGTTGTTACAGCAATAACTAGTACATCAGAAATCGAAAGTTTTACATTATTCGTAGTTATGTCAATGCTGAATATCTTTAATTTGAATTTAAAAAAAAAACTACGTTAAAAAAAGGAAAATATGGGGTAAAAAAAAAACGAAGTGTAGATAATTTGCATTCTTTTCATAAAGAATTGTTGCACTACCTTACATTTTTTATTAATTACTCATTATTTGGTAATCATTCCAATGTTTTATATTTTGTCTTATTTCGTGATGAGATAACGAAAACAAATGATGTGTTAACTCAACTTTTCATTTACAAACCATAACCATTAGTACTTCGGTTTCTAAATAATTCTTCCCTAAAGTTTCACACGCGTTCACAGTCAAAATAACCTTAATGAACATAACTAGATGACGCTAATAACCCCTTATTCTTATAGTATAAAAAAGTTCCTATTGTCCATACAAGAGAGGCGAAAGATTCCAAAAGGACATTCAAATTCAGGAGTCGATAACAATCTGACAATGCTATGATTGATTTTATCACGTTTAGCACGTCAACGTCAAATTGACCTTAATAGAACATCTGTCTATTACGGAAGAAAACATTATTCAATCTATGCACATGGGTGGTAAAATATGGACTTCAAAACATATAAAGGAACTAAAATTAAAAAAACATACGAGACTAACAAAGGCCAGAGGCTCCTGACTTGGGACAGGCGCAAAAATGCGGCGGGGTTAAACATGGTTTGTGAGATCTCAACCCTCCCCTTTACCTCTAGCCAATGTAGAATAAAGAAACACATAGCAATACGCACAGTAAAACTCAGTTCAAAAGAAGTCCGAGTCCGATGTCAGAAAAGGTAACAAAAGAAACTAAGCAAAATGACAATGACACATAAATTAACAAAGGACTACTAGCAGTTTCTGACATGCCAGCTCCAGACCTCAATTAAACTGATTGAAAGATTATGTCTTCATCATATGAAAATCAAGTTCAATCCCTCCGGTTAGGGGTTTAGTATCATACCATCATAAAATATATCAGAAGAACATAACCCGTATCATGCCAACAACTGGTTTTAGAATAAATGTGTTTATTTCCGATGCAAAGACAATATGAGTGAATCAATATTAATACCAAAATATGCAATCCTTAATGACTTGACAACAGTATCGTAACTATATCCTTTCCGAATAAGTCTGTTTAAAGGTTTGGTTAGCTTTTGAGGTGAATGCCGACATTTTTGCGCCTGTCGCAGGTCAGGAAACCCTATGCTTTGTTAGACTTGTGTGTGTGTTTTTTAAATAATTTTGGTTCATTTGTAAGGTTCAAGATTTAGTATGGCGCCCTTTTGCTGCACTATTCTATATGACTGTTTAGGGGCAATCTGCAACCCTACTCTGGGTGCGGGATTTTCCTGATGCGTTGAACATCCATTGGTGGCCTTTGTCTGTTTTCTGCTTTTTTTATCTGGTTGATATCTCTTTCCTATTTCTTCTCTATATTCTATCTTTAATTGTAAATATTTTGTTCTAGTTTTAAGTGGGCCACTGTCTGTATATGTCCCTCCCAATAAAGTGACCAACGCTCAAAGTGTTATCCATGTCCCTCATAAATTCAAACTGTTATCAAAACTTTTTTTAGCAGTACTAGCATATGTCAATCTGAATATTGGAACTTGGTGTAACAGCACTTGAAAATAGAAAAATTCATAAAAACATAACTTATCCAGACTTATTTTTGTAATATCTGAATCACCAAAACGATTTTTTGGTGTATTAGTGTACAACCTTATAGATCGAGTTTGCGATTTGCTCTTGTTGATTAACATGAGTTTGAAAATCCGGTTAAAAATTGTTTGTCAAATCTGAAAGTCCTGAAAAACCATGAAAAAGATCTTAACAACCATTGACAAATGTCTGATTTGGAACAAGTAAATTTAACTCATTTATGGAATGATGATTTATTTCAAATATACATAATATATAATAAAAATAATAATTTTTTTATCACAAATCAGATATTAACAATAACGTTAGATTCTGAAATTTAATCAAATATTCAACAACATATATTTTTCTGCATCTGCACTTTGAATTATTTGGTAAAACAAATATTATAATAATAATTGAAAGTATATATGCATGCATATTTTTATGAAAATAGTGCAATTAATTTTGTAATTTTGTATTTCACATCATTTTTGTTCTTCTTGAGTCTTTTTAGGTAATTGAATATCTTAAACAGATAATATTTGTGAATGTACTGTTTTTCACAAAATATTATATATGTTGTTACAGCAATAACTAGTACATCAGAAATCGAAAGTTTTACATTATTCGTAGTTATGTCAATGCTGAATATCTTTAATTTGAATTTAAAAAAAAAACTACGTTAAAAAAAGGAAAATATGGGGTAAAAAAAAACGAAGTGTAGATAATTTGCATTCTTTTCATAAAGAATTGTTGCACTACCTTACATTTTTTATTAATTACTCATTATTTGGTAATCATTCCAATGTTTTATATTTTGTCTTATTTCGTGATGAGATAACGAAAACAAATGATGTGTTAACTCAACTTTTCATTTACAAACCATAACCATTAGTACTTCGGTTTCTAAATAATTCTTCCCTAAAGTTTCACACGCGTACACAGTCAAAATAACCTTAATGAACATAACTAGATGACGCTAATAACCCCTTATTCTTATAGTATAAAAAAGTTCCTATTGTCCATACAAGAGAGGCGAAAGATTCCAAAAGGACATTCAAATTCAGGAGTCGATAACAATCTGACAATGCTATGATTGATTTTATCACGTTTAGCACGTCAACGTCAAATTGACCTTAATAGAACATCTGTCTATTACGGAAGAAAACATTATTCAATCTATGCACATGGGTGGTAAAATATGGACTATACATAACAAGAAAATAAACATTCAATGACATTTTTAAACGTGTATACCAAGCAATTTCGGCAAGATACACAACAATAACGGACACAAACTCAAATTTTCAAAACTGTAACAACATAATTACATTATACATATAGTTTAACTTGTGTTCAACTTATTTCACATTGTATAAATAGCTATGTCAATTTTGTGAAATCTGTAGGTCATCTTTTCCGGTGTCTAGTTTTGTTGATTTATTATTGTTTGCTTGGCGCCCAGGGCAAAAGCAATATTTTGAAATGTATTTGTCTATATCATTGAGATAACAGTCATACTGTTAATCTTTTCATTTAGACAAAAATTCTCAAGCTGAGAAGTCGTTAAAAAGTCAGTTATGAATATAGAGCAAAACTTGTCAATCTATTATCGTTTTCACTTCACATGAATGTAATATGATTTGCAGTTACCAGCTAATTCAACAAGCAGATTTGAAAAGTAATAAATTAACTAGATCCATACAAATTCAGTCTTTACTTCATTTTATGATACAGTGGAATTGTGAAATGTACATTTGAATAATGATTAAGAAACAAAATTAAAACCACGTCCATCAGCAGTAGAAAGTCCATCAGCAGTAGAAGCAGCAATATAATCATCATCTTTAAATTAAAAACCACCATAACTTGAATACATGTCAGTCTAGGTGTAGTGATTTATTTGAATAAAATGAATAGGTGTATACATCTTGAACATGGCTATCATTTGTTTTCCTCTTATTTACAAACTTTAAGACTTACAGTAACAAAGTATACATTAAATTTGAATATAACAGTGTATGGCATTTGATAAAATAGTAAGTTGTTTGAATAAAACATTACGGTAATCAAAATATCATAATACATAATCCCATTCAGCTTATCAATGACACTTTTCGGAAAGAACTGTTGTACCTTTTATATGGATTTAATTCTATTGATTGCAGAAAAGCTTGGCTCGCTGATTCTATGTCGCCTAACAATTGAAAACTTCTTCCGAGGATGTAGAAAGATGTAGCTTTGAATATGGGAGTGGCTATAAAATAGTTTTCATCTATAGTCAACTGTAGATCCCGGAGAGAATCCCAGCATTGCCTGCTATTTTTTAAATGATAATGACACAAAAACCGAAGAAAATGAGAATAAACTATTGGAGGAATCAATTCGTATATTTCCTTTTGTAGTTCATCTGGTTGTAACTTACAGATTTTGAAGATCACTAAATCTAATAGTAAATATTTACATAACTGAACATAAGTCATTTCACTAAATACAGGTACATTAACTAGTTCACAATGAATATCTGAAAACTGCATGAATGGATGAAGTTTTTCCGGTGTACATTTTAATAGAGAATACTGGATAATGTGAAGAGCTGTTTTGTACTGTTTTCTTTTATAGAAAAACGAAGCTAACATCAGCCATCCAGATACAGCGTCGTGACGTGTTTTAAGAAGAAGAGTACTTATATAACTATTATACTCTTTATAAATAGATTTATTACATGACATATCCTCCAATTGTAGAAATCGCTCACTTTTGAAACAAAATTTTGACAAATAGTATGTAGACAAGTATTTGATTTTTGAACTCTTAGTTGACAAGACCTTGTATATCACTTTTTCCAAAACAGAATGAACAATATTAAGAAAAATGTCGCAAGACAAAGTTTGTGAATCTAATAATCTTTTAACACTCATGGCATCTAAATACCTTGTCTCCTTGCTTTTATCAGAGGCCAATACATTCAAATTTGAGATTTGGTCCGACAATAAGATACATTGCCAACCATAACTTTTTAGAATATACAACTTATTCAAAAGTGTTTCCTGTGCTTGTCCTTGTATCTTATTCTCAAATAAATTATTCTCAGGAATAAAATAATGCGGACAAACCTTGTACTCAACACAATATATGAGCCTCCTGAAACATCTCATGTAACAAAATATCAAGTTTTCAGGTTTCCATTTTGATAAAGGTAATTCTTCGCATATCCAAAATAATATTGTTTTCATGAAATATGAACAAAGCAATTCTTTACAATCTATGTCTAAAGCTATAACGTCTTTTAGAAGAATTTTCATAAGTGCATAGCATAGTAATTGTGTATGTGTAAATGAATACATAAGTAGTTTTTCGCCAACGGAAAATGATATTCGCCATTCTAATTCTTCTTGTGTAGATCCTTTCACACCTACAGGTACAAAGAGAACCCCGTGTTTCACAATACTCTGTTTAACATCGCACCTCGGCCATGAATTATTTGATCGTGTTACCCAATGTATTGCTGGTTTTATCCAAAATTTACAATGTAAACAGTTTGCATAGTCAAAAAATCCATCTTCATCGGAAACACATGGCCCATGTACAGTGGAAAACGTGTCGGTTGAAAACCTTTGTTTAAATGAAAGGTTTGAAAAGTAGTAATCACTAGCGATATTTTTACAGTCTGCTAAAATACTCGGGCAATTTCTGTTCACTAGACGTAACTTAGTGAAACCTGGTTGTGTATCATCCAGTTCCATTGCAAAATGTATTTTATCAGCATTGAAATCCATGTGTGTGTCTTCACATACCTCAATATGTTTTAATACCGCCATTATATCTATATCACTACCACGCATCTCTAGTCCCTCTCCAAAACTTCCACTGGTAATAAATGACCACTTCTTGTTGCTCTGAAAATGATCTCTGACATTGTTCATCATCCTGAAAGTTTTTACATGCTCTTCTGACCCAACAACGTTCTGACATAGATAATGATACAAAGCTATTGATGTATTTTGTGTTGTTGATTCTGTAAAACAAATTGATTAAGTGTGTTTGAAAAGTCTTAAAAATTGACTTAAGATTTACTTATTTCTTCATCACATCTGGCAAAAATTGTATAATTGTGTATGGAAATAGTTGTAATATAACTACTGAAAAAACCCTTATGCTTGAGTTTTGTCATACCTCGACAGTTGGTCCAATTGTTCATAATATATTTTAATCAAAGCTATTAATTGCTGCATCCTCTGATCAGAAAAAATGTGCGTCAACATTAATTCAAATGGAACACTAAAACTATCTTGCTATGTCCATTTTCATTATTATGTGCATTTAGATAGTTCGTTTAACGTGGTTGAGCTTTTGAATTTGCCATTTGATTAGAGACTTTCTGTTTTGAATTTTCCTCGGAGTTCAGTATTTTTGTGATTTTACTTTTTACTTCATTGTATTGTGTCAAAACGTCGTTATATGATGTGCTTTCATCGTTGTTATAGTCAATAAACAACATTACGATTAGAACGATCAATTATGTAGCTATCGTTTGGAAAACGGTTGAGATTTGAAAAGAGATAAACATTTGCACATTTGTTCCACGTTTTAAAGAAAAACCACATGTCATATTATTGTTCAAAAATTATCAACATATGATTTGCAAAGTTTAGATATATGGTAACAGTTATAAAAATTAGGTGCCCTCGACATTGAGGATATTCTGCATATTTATATTCTAGAAATGTGAATACTGTTTCTGATCTAGCAGATACAGTCTCGTATCAGCTTCTGATGTGCTTTTTTTTTAGAAATAAATCCAATAGTACAATGTCACAAAAATCAACGTTTTAACCTTATCTGGTAAATATTTAGATCAATTTATACAAGAGCTGGTTGGAGAATACCCCGACTACTTTGTGAGTTCGAATCCAGGTAAGGAAGGTAACTATGCTCGATTCCAATCTTATTTAATTAGACTTGTCAGTTTTCCAACCGTAGGTTGGTGGTTGTATCTGGGCACTACGGCTTCCTCAACCAATATAAACTAACCGCCTTGAGTTAGAACACAGGTGCTAAAAGTGGCGCTAAACAACAATTAATCAAGTAACTAACTAATCAATAATCCATTCCGGCATCCTTACGCATAAGTAGAAAATTTTATCACAATCGTTTGGAAATATGATACTTTAAAATACCTGTTGTTTAATTGATATAGGAAATGAATTAAGTCAAAGCGGCAATTCACAAAATGGGGGACGACATAAACCGGTACAGCTTTCTTTTAAAAAAATAGTTATTTTATCATATTTTCGCCGCAGCTGAGAATTTCTTCAATCATCTCCTATTTTAATGGATGTAAATCTGCCTCCAAAATGTTCGAACATTTGACTTTTGTTAAATTGCACTGTCTCATTTTATTTTATAAATTGTCCCTTCGGAAGCTGATATCAGGTGGGAACTATATATCAGAACCAGTATTCTGGCACTTCAAAAATAATAAATGCAGAAGATCATCTGGAAGATCAAATATGTGCACCCTAGTTGCTGAATACAAAGTCGAGGACTAATAGTTCACTATCTTTAACAGTATGTTGATTGTAATAGACCCATCGATTAAACCTATTCTTTGCAATTCATATTTTGACAATTTTCCAACAATTGTATAACATGTGATTTTTCTTGAAAACGAAGTACCAACGAGCCAATGTTTATCTCTTTTAAAATATCGACCATTTTCCAAACGATAGCTACAGATTTGAGCCAGGTTTATAGTAATTCCAGAGAAGCAGATCAGAATCAGCTTTGCCGTAGATAGTTATCGTTCTAATAGTCATCATTCGTAATTATGGTTATTGCCCATAACTACTAAGAAAACCCAACATATAAGGACGTGTTGACATCATTTGATGAACTAAACAGAAGATTCTAATGCAACATCGCTTGTTACGTTCAATTTGATTGGATAACGTCATATATTTTCATGGCATCAATTGACAATTGATGCTATGAAAATGTACGCGCAAGCGCAGACGACGTATGACAGATTTTAAATGTATGATTTGAGGTTGCTTTCTGTCAGTTTCATTAGAATGGAGATAACAATATTGTATTTTAAGCTCCGACGGCATCAATTGGTGATTTGAAGGTCGCAAATACCCGTTTACTGGCTCCACTAACGCGTCGCCAGTAAACTTATTTTGCGACCATCAAATCACCAATTGATGCCGTCGTAGCTTAAAATACAATACAGTTATCTCCTAAATATCATGATTGCTCAACACAAAATGACAAATGCATATCATATAAAGGTAAATGCATATCATAACACAAAATGACAAGTGCAAATCATATAATGAAAATAGGCATGATACGACGTTTTGTGCGTCCATAAAACCATTTACCTTACATTGATTGTTCTTGTCTGTTAATTTAATTTCTTAAATAGTACCTGCTGTCGAATCTCTAGCCAAGGGAAACAAATTTTCTAGAAATAGGAATCTCAATAGAAAAAACTACCAAAGATAGATTAAGAATTGGTTAAAGATTGTAAATACTTGATTTAGTATGGTTCTGACTTGGTGAAGTATGGTTCAGACTAAGTCGAATCAAAGAGTGGCATTTCTTTTAATATATTACAATAAAAATATATATATATCAAAACGTCCATTTTTAGCAAAATTGAAACCTGTCTATATTAAGAGAAAACTAAATACGAAATACGAGTGCATATGTTTGTGTGGGTTTATTTGTTTCGTACTTTTAACTTCCAAGGTTACATTATATTTAATAGAGGGCTTACACAATCAAATATACTTCAAAAATGTTCACAAATATGTGTTATACAGATAACTTGTCGTTTTGTTTTGCTGCATATAAACATTTTGTTTAAAGAGGTGACGTAAACTCAAATGTTTTATTTAAACCATAGTAGAATATGCAATATTATAAAACTGTCTTTCCATTGGGTGAAAAGGTGGTGCTCTAATGACAGAGGATCCGGACCGCCAGAGCTGGAAGCGGAGCCTTTTTCTAGGATATAAAGAAAAGCATACGAATAGTAAAAAAAAGTCAAAACCACGTCCTGATGAAAATTAGGAAACCTTACCCAGCAGGCACAACAACGTTGATTCAACATTGAATAAACGTCAGATTTCAACGTTGAATCAATGTTGAAAAGTAGTGTTGGATTGAAAATTGATATGACGTTGATTCAACGTCAGCTCCCAACGTTGAAAATAGGTTGAATTTTGGTCTAAATTTGGTCGGTGTATGTTGAAAACTAGTCGATTGCTGGTTGAAATGTGGTCAAAGAAAGTTGAAATCAGGTCGAGTGTTGGTTGTACTGTGGTCAATGAAAGGTGAAATTAGGTCGAATGTTGGTTGTACTGTGGTCAGTGTATGTTAAAATCAGGTCGAATGTTGGTTGAGTTATGGTCAGTGTATGATGAAATCAGGTAGAATGTTGGTTGGACTATGGTCAGTGTATGTTGAAATCAGGTCGAATGATGGTTGAACCGTTATCAGTATATTTTCAATGAGATTTCTGCTTGTTCGAATATTTCCCTTTTTATATTTCTCTACATCTTATGATTACAGCTAATTTCCTAATGCATGTAGAGTAAGACTTTGGTTAGCTTGCTTGCTTTGTTTGTATATTGTACAACTGTTATTGGGATAACGTCCAATCAAATTTTAAATATAATTTATACAGAATAACTATGCCTGTCTATATTGTTAGCAGATGTTAATCTTAATTACAATGTTTGAGCTAACGTTTATACAAACATAGCAAGCAAGCTTACCAAAGTCTTACTCTACAAGCATTAGGAAATTAGCTGTAAGTGGAAAATAAGTCATTCCCTTTGTTTCGGTAATACTGGTAAGGAGACCACTCACTTCTGAGTCGTCTGGTATTTATAATACAAGACTTGACAAGAAGAACAGGCACAACTTATTAACCTTACCAGGCATAGATAATCTTAAACTTTATTGTTGTGTCATACACAAAATATGTTTGTGACATAAAATAGTAGTTATACAACAAGTTGCTCACATATGCATCTTACAATTTCAAACAAACAAAAACTGAATACTTAATTTTATTTAAAAAAATTAGTCCTTCTGCTAGACACATTCCCAGATATTTCAGGGGCATATTTTAGGCATCTTGCACAGTAGTTCCATATTGTGGTCTCCGTCATTCGTAACTACAGCATCTGCAACAGAAAAAAAAATTGTACTATCTTTATCATATTAACTTGATTATTTAAAAATTTATCAAGAGCGACCATGTGTTTTTTTTTAAAAACTTGAGTTCAGATGGTAAAGAATAAATATTTTTAATAAAAAAAAACCTATACTAGATTTTAGTAGACAAAGATGCTAGAGCACATTTTAAAGAAATTGTGACAAAATCTCACACATTTTTAATGTGGAAAAACAATGGTATATATTTCAATACTCACCCCCTTATTATGTCAAACAAGCTTGAACCACCAAAGGCATGTTTATTCTTTTTACCCGATATGTATTTTTCAGACATGGGTTTATTGGTAAGACATCATCTACAAAAAAATTCTAAATTGTTAACTCCCTCTTTAACTTTAAAATAAAAACGCGTACAAAATTTGGACTTCCAAAACCTTTCATTGGGGACTTTCCGTTATGAATTTTAAATTCCTCGGAGTTCAGTATTTTTGTGATTTTACTTTTTTCATGAATTGGTTGAAAACCCTAAGTCCAACTATTTGTATTGTAGCATTACAGGAAATTTATCCTGCAGAATCCAACAAGATTCTGGAATCAGTGGCGGATCCAGCAATTTTCATAAGGGGGTCCACTGACTGCATAAGGGGAGCTGCTCCAGTCTTCCTTCTGTGATTCCTTATATAATCAACCATTTTGTTCTCTCAAATGGGGCCGGCAACGTCCCTAACTCGGCCTCCGGGAATCAAGGGCTTTATAATTAATTTTAATCCTAAATCATAGTTTAAAGGTCTCACAATAAGCTAATGGGTTTTCAATCTTTTTTATCTTGACAGTCACTCATCATGAGATACAATACAGCATCACAAGCACCGAGATCTTGAGAGTTACTCATCTTGAGATACAAAAATGCCCCACAAGCCCCGAGATCTTGACAGTCACTCATCTTGAGATACAATAATGCACCACAAGCACCGAGATCTTGACAGTCACTCATCTTGAGAAACAATAATGTACCACAAGCACCGAGATCTTGACAGTCACTCATCTTGAGATACAAAAATGCCCCACAAGCACCGAGATCTTGACAGTCACTCTTCTTGAGATACAAAAATGCCCCACAAGCACCGAGATCTTGACAGTCACTCATCTTGAGAAACAATAATGCCCCACAAGCACCGAGATCTTGACAGTCACTCATCTTGAGAAACAATAATGCACCACAAGCACCAAGATCTTGACAGTCACCAATCTTGAGATACAATAATGCACCACAAGCACCGAGATCTTAACAGTCACTCATCTTGAGATACAAAAATGCCCCACAAGCACCGAGATCTTGACAGTCACTCATCTTGAGAAACAATAATGCACCACAAGCACCGAGATCTTGACAGTCACTCATCTTGAGATACAAAAATGCCACACATGCACCGAGATCTTGACAGTCACTCATCTTGAGATACAAAAATGCTCCACAAGCACCGAAATCTTGACAGTCACTCATCTTGAGATACAAAAATGCCCCACAAGCACCGAGATCTTAACAGTCACTCATCTTGAGATACAATAATGCACCACAAGCACCTAGATCTTGACAGTCACTCATCTTGAGAAACAATAATGCACCACAAGCACCGAAATCTTGACAGTCACTCATCTTGAGAAACATTAATGCACCACAAGCACCGAGATCTTGACAGTCACGTATCTTGAGAAACAATAATTTACCACAAGCACCGAGATCTTGACAGTCACTCATCTTGAGAAACAATAATGCACCACAAGCACAAAGATCTTGACAGTCACTCATCTTAAGATACAATATTGCACCGCATACACCGAGATCTTGACAATCACTCAACTTAAGATACAATAATGCACCGCAAGCACCGAGATCTTGACACTTACTCCTCTTAAGATACAATAATGCCCAACAAGCACTGATTTCTTTACAGCAACTCCAATTGTTATTATAAAACATCCATAAAACAACGCATCCTATATTGCATGATAGGATCCATACACTTTTTAGTTTTTCCGCAGATAAAGCTTTGGATGGTCATCTTTATTAGATGCTTTACTTTAATATAATTCAAAATAAATATTATTCACGTATAATTAATTATATTGATACATGTCATTTTATACCTAAATTCTTCATCAATAGATACTTTCGGCATGGTTGCTTAACGCAAGAAGTAGTTCAACTTTGAAACTTTGTTTACATTCTTCTTCAAACTGCAATAAATTCCAGTCTTTCGTGATACGTGTTATAAAATTAACGTATTCATGCATATAGGTTATGTTTAGATATTAAAACTAAAGGATCGAATATTTACCATTTCCTTGAATTTTTTGTGCTGTAATAATTCAATACTGTCAATTGATAAAGCATTTATTTTGACGTTATCATATACCAGAGACATATATACCTGCATCATACCAACTTTGAAATTAGTAAGATTGTGTATTAATTTGTTATGGTCACACGTGTTTCTTATCTGCCGTATTGCTTCACTTATACCAAGATTAATAAATCCTCGGAATACATGCTGTGAGTGACATCTATTCTGATCAAAAGAAAAGATTTTTTTTTGTTTCAAGGTCAAGAATGCCATGTGTTGTAAATCTTTTGACTTTTAACTACATCAACATATAAAAGAGCGAGTTTGAGATCACATAGGTGCATTTCAATAATTGGTTTTAATTATTTGCCAGATGAATAAATTCTTCAATTTCTACGATGTTCCATGGTATTTAAAAAAAATCCACCTTTCTGTATCTGCAATGATAGAATACTTTGCCATACGCTTTAGCTTTTTGCCAAATAATTGTTCATAAACCCCATCCCCCTTTTTCAAGTTTTTACATTATAAGTTGCCTCACCCAATTAAATGTACAAATATATCTTAAGGTCAAAGTGTTCCCCGATGCTTCAAAAATTTGTATCTTGCCTGCTGGATAATGACAACTACGTACATGTATAATTATAAATTATATCCGATAGATCTGCTTAAATCACTATAGTATACTCATACTTGCTGGGACAGCGAATAATTACAGCTACATTAATGTTTATATTAATTAATTTATCATATAACTATCATTAAAACAAACAATAAATGATAATTATACTTACTTTGCACTGCTTAGAGCAACTGTTAACTTGTTGTGGTAATCAAATTGGCGCAAATAAATTCAAAATGTCGGCCTCATACGCATGCGCCAATCGGAAAAAGAAATCTGTTTCGCGTTATTGAAATATTGTATCGCAATTTGAAGATTAATTTATATATGCAACAGTAATCATTGAATTTATTCAAAAACATCAGTAAACCAATATAAATAAAAAGTGAAATAAAAGCAAAAAGAACTATACAAAATTGGTTCAATCTCATCTTAAATAAAAATTTCGGTCGACACTTAAAGTCATCAACCTTAAATAAACCTTTTATCAACGTTTTATTTTCAACCAATTAAAGCATTGAAAGCATCAACTTAAACTCAATGTTGATTCAACGTTGACAGTTCAACGTTGATGTTTTTAACCACAAATCAACGTTGATTCAACAACGTGATTTAAACGTTGATAGGATTGACGTTGATACAACGTTGGTTTTACGTTGATCAACGCTACAACCAAATTTCAACATATTTTAAACGTTGGTTCAACGTTGCGTGCCTGCTGGGTAGTCATATCATAGAAATACGCTACCGTACGTTCTAGTTAGCTTTCAGACCGTAATTTCGTCAGTTTTCAGAAAGATTAGGATATACACTTTTCATACGAACGTCCTGGAACCTGTGCTTTCTCCATGCTGTAGGATGAGATTCTCGGAAATTATTTGTTTTCCTTTTTCCTGTTCTTTCAACCTATATTTTTTTCTTATTTGTTTTTTATAAGGCATAATAAATGTATCCGTACGAGCATGCCAGTTTCTATCATTCAACAAAGATATAACAAGATGAAGTGTATACAAGGCATACAGACATATTTTGTTTTAAGTTTAAGGTGGAAACACACAATTAGGAATGTAATTTCGCATTTTTGCCACGGTGTATTTTTTTTTAAATATGAACGTTTTTGTGAAAACAAAATCAGTTCTAGGCAGGTGGTGACTAATTTAGCCTTCAAAGTGGGTTTATAAGAACATCACAATTATTTTAACATGTTGTGTGGGCTTTTTGCTGTTTAACTGTCCGTATTTTCATAGCCAGACCGGCCATAGCCTCAGAAACTAATGTAATGCACATATATAATTTGTAAGAAAGGGAAAAAAAATTATCAGCCTGAGGGTAAATTTTTAATTCCTAACTGTATATTGCTATTTTTAGCTAAAGTTTGTTGTAAAGGAACCGAGTTTTGAATAGAAACCAATTGAATGAAATGAGAAAATGCGTTATTACCTGCCATTTTGGTTGTAAACTCTAACTTTATTTACCTGGTAACGGGGACTTCCCTAATACCTACTTTCGTTTCTATTTATAGTTCATAGAAAATCCATATTGCAAACATAAGTTACATTTCAAAACACTTTACTGTAATTTAATGATATACAAGACATTTAAAACCTACACTTCCTGTATAGGGATATTTAAAAAATAATTTTGAAATTAATTACACACTAAACATTTGACTATGTAAAGAGATAATACATTTTCAATTACAGATTTACATTGTTTTGAATGAAACTCTTTATAACGATATTTTGTAGTTATTTAATAATTCAACTTTCCTTTAAAAGGAATTTACGAACAGCTCTCATCATATTATATTTTCTTATTTCTAAAAGGTTTCATGCAACAAAAAAATGTCGTTTTCACACACATGCATTCATCAGAATTAAACAAAAATAAACAATTAAAAAATTTCAACAAAATTACCATGATTGTACCGATTTACTGAGTTAAGCCTTTTGCAAATGATTTTTACAGTTTCTTCTTATGTTGTGCTGCAATACCACTATCCTAGGTACGGGGATGGGGTGGCGATGATGGGGTGTGTTGATTACTCACAAACATGTTTAATCCCGCAACATTATTTACACGTGTGCGCCATTTATAGATTAGGATCCTGTTAATCGTTGGTCCAGTCGGTTCAAGTCTATCATATATAATTTAAGATATGGTATTTTTACAATTCTGAAGGTCGTACGTAGAGCAATAGTTATTGCCTTTAAACACGCCATTCGAACACTAAGGGATATTATTTCATTGGCGATTATACCACAGCTCATACTTAAATGCGGTAAGAATTGTTTAATTATACTTTTAAATAATATTTATCTTTTTAATACGGGTTAAAGAAATTAGAGCAGTGTACTGGTTGTTTATTATCGCGTGTTATACATCTTTCACGATAAATGCTTGTCTGTAAAATATTCAGAACAAGATAACAAAATTGTACACAATGCAAAAGCATTAAAAATGATTGAGAGATGTTGTTACATATTATGTAGAGTTAAAATGTCTATACATAATCTTTTATAGGTACCAAGATGTTAACATAAATTTATTTCATTTGGTAGTTTATTCCGAAGTATCGAGGACCTATATGTAAATGATGTTTTTTTCAAATTTTTATAAGGTCTCTCGCTACATCTCAACATTGGATGCAGAAGATCGTTTTTCCTGTGTATGTTTGTTATTGGACTACCTATCTATTTAAGGAATGTATGTGTTTGATTATAAAGAAATAAATGAACAAGAATAAATTTGTGATAAGAAATCCTAGATTTAATCGATGTAGCTCTTTGAATAAATTTACAGTATGTGCTAACATTAGTACATCCAGTGAAAACCTGCGAGCTCTTTTCTGCATCTTCACAATTCTATGAAGTTCATTTTCATTACCATATCCCCATATTGAGCAACCAACATCATGTATAGACAGAATATAAGCATTATTAAAAAACTTTCTACTATAAATATGTTGATGTGTATAATAGTGTGTAATCATAATTTGGAAGGTAATTCGGTGTTTGCTCTACCACTGTTCATTTCAACAAACTTTATGACAATACCACTATACCAATCAGAATGAACTGTTTTGCAATGTAAAAGAAATGACTTTACTTTGTAGTCACGTATTATTTGTGAAATATTTATTGTTTTAAAAGAGCAAATTTTCTGTTTAAAGTCTATAACTATGTAGACTTTTAAAGCCCAAACCCGCTATTGCCTAAAATACGCAAATGAAAGATCCAAAAACTATACAAATTTAGAACGACAGAAATTATAGCAAATCTTTTGGTTGACAAATTTTTGTGAGTTATTGCAAACAAAATGAACTTAAAATATCTGACATATTCTCCCTACCCAGTTTACCCCTATTATTTATCATGATTTGGACCGGTCATTGTTAATAAATCTAGCACAATTTGATATGAATAAGTTATTATTAGTTTACCTTCAAACTGTTTATGATTTACATACATGATTATTGATTAAATCATAACGTGCATGAATGTGCAGAGTAACTCAAATGACCTTCAAACTGGACATTGGATGAGTCCATATTATGTTTTATTAATACAAGTGAAGACATGAAAGGTAAGAATTGCCACTTCTTTTATTTGCACATTTTCCGAATACACAGCAGATAAATTATTTTTAATAGCCTATTGCGGAGAGAAAAGGGAAAAATTACAAATAAGACGTTTTATTCCATGAAAAATACGGGGTCCGAATATCGCTAAGTTATCAAAAAATAGGGACTTTATGCATTATCTATATAGAGACCAGTTTCTGTAATTTTACATTTTACAAAATCAATGTCGTAAAGCACCAAAGACCCATCGAAACAAAACCTAATACATATATTTAAGTTAGTGTTGTCAAACCGTACAGTTTTGCCTAACCGGTTACTCGGATGATCGTTAGACCGATTAATCGGTTAACCGGTAGTTAAAGTTGATGTTTGAATGCCTATCTATAGTACCCTACAAATGTACGTTTTTATAATACGATGAAAAAGTTTGTCCTTTGGCATTATAAGGCTTGTCTGTGAGGATTCCTGGCGAAGATTGACTTTTGATAATCCAATACACTGTATCAACTATGGATTTTGTAATAACCTCAGATTGAAAAGTAAAAAAACCTTTTGGATCTCGTCGAATTGAAAATGTCTGAAACCGATGATTCTTTCATTTTCTCTTGGTGTCTCAGAAAATAATGTGGAGTGTTTCAGTTTGAAATAATGATTATGCCTGTTACTCGCCCATCAAGTATACATTATTTACATTCACTTTGATTTGTATTTCGCAATTTTTGAGTTGGCATTTCGTTTAAAGTATGACAAAGCCTTGCACGATGGAGGTTCCACATTCAGATGTGCGGGGTCTACGCAACATTATATAAAAAAAATGAAATAATGAACTAAATTGAAAATTTAATTTGATTTCTGATTTAAAGTTACTATTTAAAAAATACATGTACACTAATTATATTTACTTAAGATCTTGCCCCGAGCTGACAGACAAGTTGTTTAAGTTCTAATTGATTTTGTGTGTTTTGAATTAACAATAGCAATCAATATACTGGACGATTGATCTGTCAAATTAATTACCACGACGATAATTTTTAAATAGAACAACATTATTTAATGATTTCAATACACATTTAAATAAAATCTATTAAAATTGAAAAAAATCCGGTTAACCGGTTATCGTTTTTGGTATTCGATATTCGGTCCTTCCGAATGTTAACCGATTAACCGTTGACAACACTAATTTAATTACACTTTTAGATATTTGGATGATATTTGGACTCTCAATAATGATGATTTCAGTATGTAAACTACCGAGAGTTATCAAACCAAGCTAGTTTTAACAATGAACACTGTCTTATTATAATCTTCATATCTATATCTCTAGCGTAAAGAGGAAATTGATAAAAAAAACAATATTTTTCATTTCCGTTTTAGACTGGGACGTTCCCTTGGCGCCATCGTATTGTGTTTGTATATCTTAACTTGTTAGATTTGCTCGAGTATGTAATGACGTTTTTGATTTAAATAAAAGAAATCTCTGCAATGTTGAAAATTATTTCACCTGGGTTTTCAATATCACAAACTTTTTATTAATTTTTATCATCGGTACAAGGACATCATACTTAAATATAAGTCAATTGCAGACATATTATACGTTAAGGTATTCCACATCCAATATTATATATAAAGCAACATGAGGTCGTCATTCACTTCAAAAGATAACAAAACCTTTAAACAGACTTATTCACGCGAGATAATGTTACGATACTGTTGTATGGTAATAAAAGATGGCATTTATTGGATTCACTTCCAGGGTCTTTAGATTACAAATAAACATATCTATTCTAAATCTAGTTGTTCGCATGGTACGGGTATAATATATGATGAAATGATGCTAAACCACTAATGGTAGGGATTGGAATTTATATTGATATGGTGAATCCATCAGTTTAATTGATGTCCTGAACTGGCATGCCAGTAACTGCTAGTAGTCCTTTGTTAATTTATGTTGATCATTGTCACTTTTGCTCTGTAACTTATTCTAACATCGGACTCATAGTTCTTTTAAACGGAGCTTTACAGTGCATTTTGCTTTGTGCTATTTCATTTCAAATTTGCTAGCGGTATGAGGGCATATGTTTGAGCCTGTCACATGTCAGGAACCTGTAGCCTTTGTTAGTCTTGTGTGTGTGTGTGTGTTTTTTATATTTTGTTCATCTATATGTTTCGAAATTTAGCATGCGTCCTTTTCGCTAAATTATAAAATTGAGAATGGTAATGGGGAATATGTCAAAGAGACAACAACCCGACCAAAGAGCAGACAACAGCCGAAGGCCAACAATGGGTCTTCAATGCAGCGAGAAAATCCCGCGCCCGGAGGTGGTCCTCAGCTGGCCCCTAAATAAAATTGTGTGCTAGTTCATTGAAAATAGACGTCACACTAAACTCCAAAACATATAAATGAACTAAAATTAAAAAACAAACTAGACTTACAAAGGCCAGAGGCTCCTGAATTAAGACAGGCGCAAAAGTGCGGCGGGGTTAAACATGTTTTGTGAGATCTCAACAATCCCCCTATACCTCTAGCCAATGCATGATAAAGAAACACATATCAATACGCACAGTAAAACTCAGTTTGAAAGAAGTCCGAGTCCGATGTCAGAATAGGTAACAAAAGAAACTAAGCAAAATGACAATGATACATAAATGAACAAAGGACTACTAGCAGTTACTGACATGCCAGCTCCAGACCTCAATTAAACTGATTTAAAGATTATGTCTTCATCATATGAAAATCAAGTACAATCCCTCCCGATAGGGGTTTAATATCATGCCATCATAAAATATATGAGAAGAACATGACCCGTATCATGCCAACAACTGGTTTTAGAATAAATGTGTTTATTTCCGATGCAAAGACCCTATGAGTGAATCAATATTAATACCAAAATATGCAATCCTTAATGACCTGA